AATTAGGTGGATTTTTCTTGTGTATGACACAAAGCAGCATTTGTCATAATTAAGAGGAAGTTTGTTCTGGATACACCAGTTAAACAGTATGTTAACGTTCTCCTGTAGCAATAACATGTCTTCATCATGGACAATTGAATGAAAGAGCTTAAGATCATCTGCATATGCTAAAGTCTTACACGTAAATGAAATAATCAAGTCATTAATAAATATGTTGAAAAGAAGGGGTCCTAGGTTTGATCCTTGAGGGACTCCAGATTTTGATACAAATTCGTAAGATGTGAAGCCATTAAAGTGAACATAATTTAAACGGTTTGAGAGATAGGATGTCATTAATCTTAAAAGCTGCGGGCATAGTCCAAATGCACTTAGTTTTGATAGAAGTATATCATGATCGATTTTGTCGAACGCTTTTGAGAAGTCCACATAGATGACGTCTATCTGAGTATTTCTATCAATAGATTTACAGATGTCTTGAGTTATACATGACAAATTGGTGACTGTAGATCTAGAAGACATAAACCCATGTTGAAAAGGAGAGATGTAAGATCTAATTTTGTTATAAATAACTTCATATAGAATTTGTTCATAAACTTTACTAAAGATGGATAATATCGCAATTGGCCTGTAGTTCTTTACATCCGACCTATTGCCGCTTTTTAAAACTGGTACGATACAAGCTCTCTTCCATATTTCAGGAAATGTTGACGTTTGTAGAGATAGATTTATAATTTTTGACAACGGACGCGCAAATACATATCTACAGTCTTTTATAAGAAAAGATGGCAACATATCATCACCACAGGTTTCCTTGTTTGCGAGTCTACGTAAAAAGTTGAAAACATCTTCTTCAGAAACACGACTCAATATAACCGGAGGTAAATACGAGTGAACATCTACTGGTTTATAGGAAGACGAGCTTGCAAAGATTTTTGAGAATTCCGAAGCGAATAAATTTACAATTTGTTGAGGATCATCATATGAATCATTATTATGTTTCATAACTCCAGGAATTCTAGTGTCCTTATTTTTAAGACGAATAAACCGCCAAAAGTCCTTTGGTTGACTTAGTAATGAGTTCTCAGATCGTAACGTGAAGGCTTGATATGCTTGTGCAATCTGCGTTTTGATTAGTCCTCGCAGTCTATTGAATTCTAATAAATAGCTTTCATTTTTGGTGCGCTTCCATTTATTTCTGTGTCTTTCCTTTATTTTGATGTTTGCTTTTATGTCAGGAGTATACCAAATGGGATATTTGGAAGTGTAACATTTTACTTTTGGTACAAACTTATCAATACTTTTATAAATATTGTCATAAAATAGACTAAGTGCCTCATTAACGTCTGTTGCAGAATCCAAAAATGACCAATTTAAGTTTATGAAGTCATCATACAAATTTATAAAATTTGCTCGTTTAAAATTGTATTTAATATTGTCAGCGGATGGAAAGGATTGCACAGTTTCAACATCAATTAGTGTTGTATTTATAGATAGCGCTGGATGATGCCGATCTTCTTGGACCCATGGAAATGCTTCTCGATCAACATTAATTATAGATTTTATATTGGTTAAAATAAGATCTAACGTTTTACCATTGCTGTTTAGAACATTATTGTGTTGGTTGAGACCCATAAGAGAACAAAAGTTAATAAAACAACGAGTTTTTGAACATGTAGCTCTGGAAGCAGTGTCAGTTGTTAACTCAGGTAAATTAAAGTCACCGACCATAATAAATGATTTGTCTAGTAATATTGGCACTAAAGCGTCAATGAAGGAACACATATCTGCAGATGAAACGTCTGGAGGAATATAAACACTTACAAGGTAGATGGTATTTGTTTTTATAGTGCCTTTACAAATGACAATATCAACTAAGGGTGCGATATCATTAATATGAGAAGTATTTACACATTCAAAGAAATATTTGTTTAAATAAGCGATCAGTACACCCCCACCAGTGGAGCGACCAACTGATTCAGAGCGTCTATCACAACGCATGATACTGTAAGATTGTGGAAACAGTTCATTATTAGTGATAGAATCACATAGCCAGGTTTCAGATATTATTACAAAATCATAAGCCGAGTCAGAACTATTAACATAAAAGTTATGACTTTTGGAGCGAAGGCCCCGAACATTTTGATAATATATATTTATGTCTTGATGAGATGGAGTACAGTTGGGCATTTTTAGTTTACCGAGTTGGTTTTAACAATTGTAGGAACTCCACGTACGTATTTTATTGATATATCAGTTTCCCCTTTACTTATTCTGGATTCCAATTCTTGTTTCATCTCTTTGTACAATTCAGTCTGCATCTGAGTACGGTCACTTGAAAATCGAATATGCTTGTAGTTATCCATTTCACGCAACTTGGAGGTATTTTTTAATAAAGTTATTACATCATCAGAACTTGGTAGATTAACTTTAATAGGTCTGCATAGCGGAATATTGGCGTCATATTTTCCACATCTTACAGGTTTAATATCATTATGAGTTATTTGAAGGCTGGTAAAAACTTGAGTGAGTAAATCGACATCCTTAATCTCTTGTTCTTTTTTCGAGATCTTAATACCTTCCATTACACCATAAATCATAATATTGTTCTTCCTTTTTTCGCGCTCTTGAAATTCAGCGACTGTTCTTTCGATGTTAAGCAGATTAGATAATTTGGAGGGGGTAACCGTTTCCTTAAATTTCACAATTTCATCTTGTAAAGAAACAATCACAGATTTCAAACTGATAATATCATTTCCTAAATCCCTACACTTAGTGCATGACCAGGAAAGCCCTTCGTTGGAATGAAGTTTCCTAGCTTCCACGGTTGAAAGGCCTACACAATCTATATTAAATGGTTTTTTGCATACACAACATCTGACTAATCTGTGCGATTCAGACGTTTTGTTGCAACAGGCACATTTATTAGACATTCTGGATTAAAAGGACGGTAGGAGTAGGAGAGCCTCTTCACACCTGCGGAGCCTTTCGCGGTGACTAAAGACAGAAATGGGCAAGGCCACGGAGAGGATGACAAGATAGCAAGAGTGAAGGAAGAGACTTACTAATATCCAAGACAAAGCCGTTATTTTAAATAGATTGATAAGGCGAATTGAAAAAAAAACGGAAAAAACTATCACTCCAGTAGTGTAAAACTCCACACCAACACTTCAATCCATGGTTATTACGATCTGGAGCGCAATAAGTCTATTGTAGAACACACTGCGTTTACTTACAGATTTTCCTTATAGGATGTTGTTAATATAATCAATTAATTATTAAACAAACCACTGTAAAATGCACACCTTCAGAGAGCGATCACTCACACGATGAATGATTATATATTAAAAAGGATTGCACTTTAAAATAAGCACTTAAGCAGGTTAAAGTATTTTTTGCCAATATTGAAGGTTTTTGCTCTCTTTTTTTCGTTCGCCAAAGCGTACTCAAATTTTAAACAACATCGTCAAAAAAAAGACTACCAAGTGGGTCAAACACCCGATGGAATTTTAGTTCTCGAGTGGGTTCTACTGTTTTTAAATATAACAAAAATATTTATTGGAATGTTTAAACTATGTCATTGAAAATGAAGATGTTAAAGCCACTCTTAGAAAACTCACAGGGTTGATGAATTATTTGAAGGACCCAGATTTTAATTTTTGGTTATATTTTTTTAACAAAATTCTTCCAAATTCCGATATTCTTTATATTAATTCAGAACGACAGCTATATAGTGTAAAGATTCAGGAATATATGTCTGCTTTTAAAAATTCAATTCAGAAGATTAGCGATGAAAGTAATTACGACTATTATAATGTTAATGACAATGATGATGTAGAAACACCAACAAAACGACTACGAGATGCTGATAACAATATACAAATGGCAAAAGAGGTGTGCGATGTTATCATTTCTAATATAACTGATAGATTTTCATTCACTGATTGTTTAGAAGCATCTTTGTTATTTGATGTAACGTATTTTCAAGATTATTCGGTTACATTTCCTGAAAAATAATTTCAGCAGTAAAAAATGGAATCTGTATTACTAAAACAAGTATTAAAGACCATCTACAGAAGAGAAGATTTTGGTTAAGCTAATGGAGCGCTTCACTTACTCCATTTTTTTTAAACAAGCTCACAAATGTCTTTCAAGAAACCGTTAAGCTGCTGGAAATAATTTGTACAATTCCCATGACCACAGTTAAAAGTGAGTGTTGTTTTTCAACTCTAAAAAGAATGAAAGAATTAAATCTATTACGGGGCATACTATGGCCTAGGATAAGCTATGTGCTTTGGCAATGTGTTCAGTCGAAAAAGATTTGATTCAGAATACCAAAAATTTTAACGAATTAGTTATGAATGATTTTGTATCTTAAAAAAATATACGAAGGGATTTTGTTTGCAAAAGTAACTAAAAACTTACAGCAAGTTATTTAGGTATTGCTTTCATCATTACCAACCCAAGCTTGTTGTTTTTTTGAATTTTTATAATAGCTATTTAGTTTACCCTTTTTATATTTTGTGTTGTTTTGAAAAAAATGTTTTTTTTATTTATTTATTTTTTTTCATTGGCAGTAGGGCTGTTATGGCGAGACCGCCGTACGGTAGTACCTCAAGGTGATGTGGAAACCTACTGTATTCAGTATTTAAAGTAAAACAAAAAATATGGGTTCTGCACATGTATACATACTTATTATCAAAAATTGTATTCTCTAAATGCCCCCTATTCAAGGAGCCAAAAGCCACCACTGGAAATAAATCAAACTTTCTACCGTTTAATTTGTTTGGTTTAAAGTGATAAAACGTGAAGTATTTCACCACAATGATTACCACGGAACATAGGAAACCGCTGCCGGAGTAAGTGCGATTTCTCGTTGTCATTACACGGAAAAAGATAGTGGTAATTTTTTCCTGTCCATGTCTGTTTAAATGAACGAGGGCACACTTTTATCTCAAAACGGCAGTCCCATCTTTTAGCAACGAAACACTGCCTGTACTTACACAAAACGTTGAGGGTGATATGACGTGTGTCAGGTTGGCCGACACCGTTATCAGCAGAACATTGATATTGGCCCGCGGAATGGCGGTCGGCGTGCTGAATTACGAGGGATAAACCAGAAACCGAACGCTCTCCGCTTGGCAAAACATTGTTCTTTCTGGTCCAGGCAACTGTTGGCACTGGATTGCCAGACGCTCGGCATTCCATCTTCACTGTGGCACCCTGGAGGACCTCCAATGGACCACTGTGAGACACGTAATGGATTCGAGGAGGCACTGTAAGAAGGATATAAATTTCATGAGCCGCTGAAAAAATATCTCGGGGATGTTTTATTTGCTTCAGTATTTCACAGAATAAATACTATCCCTTAACTTAATAAAAGAGTAGACTGATAGAAATTAATAATAAAATAACTTCGACTTTATTCATCGCGTGAACATTTATTAAACACACAATTGAATTGCCGTAACTCTATATTGTTTTGCAATTAGACTTGCATTTTCGAAGTTTATATCACGAGAGACATGAAACAAGAATTAGTCTAACTGATTCTTTACTATACCATATACGTTTATGTATAAAGATTTTTTCTGCAAATTAGGTATGTTAATTATTCTTTGTTGAGAGCGAGCATTAACAAAATATACACATCTAAACATCTTTTTCAAAAAAGTCAGGTAAGAGGAACGTGTTTCGGAACTTACATCCCGTTAAAAAATGTCCTAATTAAGTGTCCTAATCAATTTCTAAGTTATCAAATAGTTCCAAATTTATACCAAGAAATGGCGTTTGACATCATTCTAAGCGGTAATACTTACTTACAGTGTGTAATCTTAGGTTTATCATTTTCACAATATTTTACATACTTATAAATAACCGGTTGTTGTAAACTTCTCTAAAATGTAAATCTTTTGATCAAATACAAAATTCGTCTAAAGTTATTTAGACAGAACTTCCCTTGCCCGTGAAATAACTTATTCAAACAATTTTCAAACTGAATCTTGCAAATTTCATATTTTTATAATAACCCCTAAAATTAAAATAAAGATATGTATCGACTGTTAAAGTAAAGAAGTATGCAATGCTTATGCTTCGAGTCAGTATTACATTGCAAAATTTTGTAATGACGTCATCAACATTTTAGCAAGAACACGTGTATGAATTTAAATAAGTGCAGTGTAATACTAATAATAACAGTACTGTACATACACCAATTTTGAAAAATGGGTTAAACCTTTCTTGATTTGATCAGTGGATGGTCTCATTCATTATTATTTTATAATCATTAATAAGTAATTCTAAATGAATATATTAATAAACCGTAAGTATAAGTCATATTATTTTTCGTATTTTAGATATGAATGAACGCTTTTGGAAAATTTGAGAATAGAAGACTGTTGTTATTAGTAAAAAATAAAAAACAGAAAATAAAAGTAAAATAAAACAGTTTATTGCCATACGTTGTACAAGGATTATGTACAAATTGTTTTGGCTCGTATAACAGGAAAAAAATGTGTACATATATGTAACACTACAAGAATTGCAATAAAGAAACTACACAAAGTACAAAATATACAGAAAATTTACAAACACATTAAACATAGGTGAAAGATCATGATACGAACAGAACTCAACAAATTCATCACAACTATAAAAACTGTGAGATAACAAAATATCCTTAATTACAGCCTTAAATTTACAAAGTTTAAATGACTGATTTGTTCAGGTAAAGCATTATTTAATAGTTTAATACAATTCTAGCTATCTAATCGACAGTAGGGAATGATAAATTGACTGCAATTTCGGGTATTGTAATGATGAGAGTCAGCATTTTTTTGGAAAATCTTTAGCTTACCGTGACCATACAATAAAATATTAAGGATGTAGATGCAGGGCAGAGGCAGAATATTTAACTGTTGAAATTTTGATTTGCAGTGAACTTTTTGATCACTAATGTCGAGCATAGATCGCACTGCTCTTTTCTGGATACAAAAAATGCGAATGACATGACTTCAGCTTCCGTATAATATTATTCCATAACTAATAACCAGAGTTAGGTATGGCCGAAGTGATGGGGAATCAATCAGACAAATGTATTAAAACCGACGGCGCGACGTCAGGCGATAAATTTGACTGGTCGACTGTGCAGTCTCAATCTTAGTGGCGTTTGGTGCATTTCAGGCTTTAGATCACAAAAATTGTGATATTGAACAGTCATTTTTAATTTTAAAGCATTTTAACATCTAGGAGAAATCGTATAACTGAGAAAACTAGTAATTGTAGGCCACGACTGCAATAGCGCTAGCTATCGGACGGCAATGAACATCATTTCCGCGATGCCGAAGTTTGCTAATAACACTAGAGAAGTTCGATTGATAAAATGTGATGGTAGCGCTTAGTATGCAATATAAAGGAAGTTTTCTTAGTTGAACTACTAACGAATTTAATTTTTACTTCCCGAGCGTAAGCAAAGGAAGTATTGTAATCGAGTCCGTCGGCCGACTCTCTACTTTTACGTTTTCTCGATCTTTCATGACCCCTAGAAGACGAAGAAATAGGTCTCCCATTTCCGTCTGTCTGTCCGTCTGTCCGTCTGTCCGTCCGTCTGTCCGTCTGTCCGTCTGTCCGTCCGTCTGTCCGTCTGTCCGTCTGTTGTCCCGGATTTTTATTAGACAGATAATCTCCGAAAGTACTCGACCGATTGTTGTGAAATTTTGTACTTATATTAAGAATATCATGTAGATGGTAAAACGCTAACCAAAATTTGTCTAATCATCTCCACCACTAAAGCGATGACGTCACTTCAAAATTGTACATAGTAAATGGGTTTTCAATTGTATAAAATAACATAGTCCTACACATGTAGTTTACAACTCTGAATCGACTTTTCACCCGAAACGTCCAGATTTTTGGCAAAAAAATCAAAATTATAAAACAACATTTTGAAATTTAATTTTTAATCTGCTAACCAGAATGCTTTGAAATGTTGCAGATGCTTTAAGGCTATAAAGAGCATCATAAATCTTTAGTCAAAAAATATTTGCTTATCCCCTCCAAAAACTTGATGACGTCAGCTCAAAAGTTTGTGGAATAAATCATATCTAAAATGTACAAAATATGATGAGTCTGTACTTGTGATCTATCACTCCATTCATATTTTTTGGATTTGCATATACAGGGTGACTCAAAAAAATTAATGAATGCGTAAATATATTTTATTGATTTAATCAGGAACTACAAAACCGAATGCTCTGAAATCTTGCAGATGTTTTAAGGTCATAAAGAGCATAATAAATGTTTAGTCAAAATATATTTGCTTATCCCCTCCAAAAACTTGATGACGTCAGCTCGAAAGTTTGCCGAATAAATCATATCTAAAATGTACAAAATATGATGAGCCTGTACTTGTCATTTATCACTCCATTCATATTTTTTGGATTTGCATATACAGAGTGACTCAAAAAAATTAATGAATGCGTAAATATATTTTATTGATTTAATCAGGAACTACAAAACGGAATGCTCTGACATCTTGCAGATGTTTTAAGGTTATAAAGAGCATAATAAATGTTTAGTCAAAATATATTTGCTTATCCCCTCCAAAAACTTGATGACGTCAGCTCGAAAATTTGCCGAATAAATCGTATCTAAAATGTACAAAATATGATGAGTCTGTACTTGTGATTTATCATTCCATTCATATTTTTGGATTTGCATATGCAGGGTGACTCAAAAAAATTAATGAAGGCGTGAATTTATTTTATCGATTTAATCAGGAATTACAAAACCGAATGCTTTGAAATCTTGGGAATATTCTAAAGTTATTATAAGCATGGTAAACTTTTGTTCAAAATGTATTTGCATTTGTTTTATGCGTTCACTTGGTTCCGCGAATGTGAAATAGACATGTTTATAATCAACCAATTGTGAATTTCACCGTCAAGAATTAAAATAAAACCCAATGTTTTATATAATAAGCGGAAGTCGAAGCAATAAAAGCGATGGTCGTTTTGTTTACAGTTTCTCTGTTTGACTCTCAAGTATGCTGTTACGCCTGTCATCTTAAATTAAGAATGTTTATACATACACGATTTTCAGCTGCCTGGGATACGTATACGTGAGTAAATTGTTTCGTTATTTTATTGATTATTACAAATCAATATTCAAAACGACCCAATTCATTTTCCCGAAAATTTGAGAATATAATAATTTTATTCTTAGTATTACACTACATCTATCCCAAACTGATATACGTGTCCTTGCAAAAATGTTGATGACGTCATCGCAATTTTTTTTTAAATTCCCACTACAAAAATGTAATGAGAAAAAACACAATAGGCATGCAGTCGTCAAGTTTCCGACAGCGAGGGAAGTACTGTCTAAACTCTTTAGACCAATTTTTTTTAAAGAAAGTCGATGTGGGCACACCAGTTTAGTTTGCTGTCAAGCATGAAACCAAGATATCTAACTGAGTTTAGGGGATCTAATAACTCATCTTTAAGAGAACATGTTTTGCTTTGATTTATGGTGAATTTGTTAACCTCACACCATTCTATAGCACATTCAACAGACTCTGTTTTTACTTCCCGAGCGTAAGCAAAGGAAGTATTGTAATCGAGTCCGTCGGTCGACTCTCTACTTTTACGTTTTCTCGATCTTTCATGACCCCTAGAAGACGAAGAAATAGGTCTCCCATTTCCGTCTGTCTGTCCGTCTGTCCGTCTGTCCGTCTGTCCGTCTGTCCGTCCGTCTGTCCGTCCGTCTGCCGTCCCGGATTTTTATTAGACAGATAATCTCCGAAAGTACTCGACCGATTGTTGTGAAATTTTGTACTTATATTAAGAATATCATGTAGATGGTAAAACGCTAACCAAAATTCGTCTAATCATCCCCACCACTAATGCGATGACGTCACTTCAAAATTGTACATAGTAAATGGGTTTTCAATTGTATAAAATAACATACTCCTACACATGTAGTTTACAACTCTGAATCGACTTTTCACCCGAAACGTCCAGATTTTTGGAAAAAAAATCAAAATTATAAAACAACATTTTGAAATTTAATTTTTAATCTGCTAACCAGAATGCTTTGAAATGTTGCAGATGTTTTAAGGCTATAAAGAGCATAATAAATTTTTAGTCAAAAAATATTTGCTTATCCCCTCCAAAAACTTGATGACGTCAGCTCAAAAGTTTGTGGAATAAATCATATTTAAAATGTACAAAATATGATGAGTTTGTACTTGTGATCTATCACTCCATTCATATTTTTT